AGCTAAGCCACTAATTCTTTGTTTATAAAGAGGGCCCTGAGAATTCACAATAGTGAGAAGGTTGATGAGATCAATACAACTATAACAAATAGGTTTTCTAAAAATTAACCATAGTTTTAAGGAAAGTTAAAAAATACAGTTTGGGAGAATTTTCTTAAGTTTACTTCCCATTTTCTTAAAATGTAAAGGGACAAGTTTAAAAAAACCCTTTTAAAAGTACATTTACACAGTGTTTCACATTTTATTTTATTTTATTTTATTTTTTTTTAAATTAAATGTTTATGTTTTTTATTTTTTTTTTATTTTTATTTTTTAATATTTTTATTTATTTCTAGGAGAGAGAGAGACAGCGTGAGCAGGGGAGGGTCACAGAGAGAGGGAGACACAGACTCTGAAACAGGCTCCAGGCTCCGAGCTGGCAGTCAGGACAGAGCCCGACGCGGGGCTCGAACCCACGAACCGCGAGATCATGACCTAAGCGAAAGTCGGACGCTTAACCGACTAAGCCACCCAGGCGCCCCCACAGTGTTTCACATTTTAGAAGTAGCTTCAGATCCACAGTCTCATTAAGAGGTGTCCCTATGTTATAGATGAGGAAGCTAAGGCCCAGAAAATTTGGATAACCTGCCTCATATAAAACACCAAGCTAGAGACAAAGCCAGATCACCACTCAAATCTAATTATAAGTTCAATGCTATTTTTCAATTTTTACTTTGGGTGTGGATCCTGACATTGTCTAGGCATTTCTGTTTGATTTTTACAGCCAAGAAGGTGCTTTCTGTTGAAATAAACAGACTAGGTAGTTCTGGGCTTAAAGCCCAGCCCTACTGCCTTCTAGCAGTGATGTCAGGAATGAGTATAATGGTTAGGAACATGGATCCTAGGGGTGCTTGGGTGGCTCAGTTGGTTAAGCGTCCGACTTCAGCTTAGGTCATGATCTCATGGTTTGTGGGTTCGAGCCCCGTGTCAGGCAGGCTCACTTGGTTAAGCGTCCGACTTCAGCTCAGGTCATGATCTCATGGTTTGTGGGTTCGAGCCACGTGTCAGGCAGGCTCAGTTGGTTAAGTGTCCGACTTCAGCTCAGGTCATGATCTCATGGTTTGTGGGTTTGAGCCCCGTGTCAGGCAGGCTCTGAGCTGACAGCTTGGAGCCTGGAGCCTGCTTCGGATTCTGTGTCTCTCTGCCCTTCCCCTGCTCGTGCTTTCTGTCTCTCTCCCTATCAGAAAACAAATAAACATTAAAAAAAAAAGTAGGAAAAAAAAAAAGATCATGGATTCTAGCACCAGGACCCCAGGACTTACAATACTGGCTCTTCCAATTGCTTACTATATGGCAAGTGCTTCAATGTCATAGTCTGTAAAATAGGGGTAATGATGGGACCTAATTCATAGAATTGTTGTAGGATTTAGTGAGTCTCTATTTGTTTTTGTTTTTAATGTTTATTTATTTTAAGAGAGAGGGAATGCAAGCAGGGGAGGGGCAAATGGAGAGAGAGAGAAAGAGAGAGAGAGAGAAAGAATCCCAAGCAGGCTCTGCACCGCCAGCACAGAGCCCAATGTGGGGCTTGAACCCACAAACTGTGAGATCATGACCTGAGCTGAAACCAAGAGTCAGACACCTAACCAACTGACCCACCCAGGTGCCCCAGCGAGTTACTATTTGTAAAGCACACAGAATCATGCCTATGCATAAGGTAAGTGTGATGTAAATCTTTAAATAAAACTCTGTTCTCTCTTATTGTTTTATAGCTAAGGTCATTATTCAAATCACATACAATTGTGATTACCCATATTCAATTTTCATTGAGTATCTTTTATTGAATACTAATTGTGTATAATATTACAGAAAAGAAAAACTGTGACTGATAGGCTTCTTCTCTTCTTGAGTTCACAATCTATGGATAGACGGAACAAAATATTTTTGAAAAACCAGGAAAGCACATTCTTGTTTATTGTAGCAAGTTTGAGGAGGGAGACAAAAGCCTCTCTCTGTAGCTTCTAGGTTTCCAAAGCTATTCGTTTTTTTTTTTAAGTTTATATATTTATTATGAGAAAGAGAGTGAAACAGAGAGCACATGCATGTAACCAAGAGGAGCAAAGAGCAAGGGAGAGAGAGAATCCTAAGCAGGCTGCCTGAGCCTGATGTGCAGAGGCTGATGTGGGCCTTGAACTCATGAGCCATGAGATGATGATCTGAGCTGAAATCAAGAGTTGGACACTTAACTTCCTGAGTGACCCAGGCTCCCCTAATGCTCTTCTTGTTTCAAAGAATCATATGTTCCATCCAATAGCTTTCTTAAGTCCTGCATTATACACTTCAGTGGGCTTGTCAGGACAGAAGAGTGTGGGGAGGGAAGAGGCACTGGCCCTTACTTGCTTCAGGGACACTTGGAGCCACAGCCTAGTCATCAGTCCTATTCTTCCTGCTCTGAGGAAACTGTTCCAGCTCCAAAAGCTTGTAATAGGGGCCATCAATGAAAGTTTTCCTCTACCCAAAGGTTTTTGTCCTTCATATTCAAAGAGAGAGAAACTAAGGCCTCAGATGCTCAGGGGGGCAGTGATGCCAAGTCAATTAGCAGCATTTCTAGGGCATCAAACTACTATTATTTCCATTCTAAAAATAGTTACTAATGAAGGTTAATTTCTCTTCTTTTCTGTAACCACTTGTAATTAATATCATCCATTCTGAGGATTTCTGAGTAGGATATATGTCTGTGACTTAGAATAGTTTGTGCAAAGCTAGCTGGAATATTTAGGGACAGAGTGTGTGATGTGACCTAAATGTCTGAATTCTGCATCACTTGAACTACCTCTATATGGATTGATATTTATTGACTGATAGAACTAATGAATTAAATATATAACAAGTAATAGGCCAGTGATACTACATGATCCTACATAACTTAGGTGCTATAAGGTATTGCAAAAATTTAAAGCAAAACTTGAACACCAGGGAAGATAAATTAATATTGTTATGACTATTCTAAAATTAAGCAGATTATGACATTACCCTGGCAGATTCTTAAATATTTATAATTATCTCAGTCACATATTTCTGAGACAGTTTAGGTATTGAAAAGAGACATTTAAGATATCTTTTTTACACTGAAAACATTAAAGTATAAATTACTTTAACATAGATATGAAGATTAGTGCCTTGTCATCCCCATGTTACATTGTGCCAATACCAACTAAATAATTTAGGTGCTATGTAAATAAAGAGGAATGTTGGTCCAAATGTTCATTTACTGGAAGGTTCTGTGACAGAAAATTCAGATTAATGGACACTATTGGTATTTAGAAATTGATATTCCTAAAGTCTCAAAAATCAAAGATTAAGAATCACGTTTGCACCATTTCATACCAATTAGGATGGGTATAATTGAAAAAAAAGGAAAATAATAAGGGTGGGTAAAGGTATGAAGAAAGTAGAAATTTTGCACATTGCTGGTGGAAATGTAACATAGTACAGCCACTGTGGGAAAGTATGGTGGTTCCTCAAAAAGTTAAACATAAAATTGCTATATGGCCCAGTAATTCAAAATAATTTAAAACAGTTGGAAACAAGGACTCAAAATATACTTGTATATCAGTGTTCATGGTAGCATTATTCACAATCACCAAAGGTAGAAAGAACCCAAGTGCCCCTTAACAGAAGAATGGATAAACAAAACATACAAGAGAAAACACATACAATGGAATATCATTTTAGCCACAGAGGATAAAGTTCTGATACATTTGATAGCATGGATGAACCTTGAAAACATTATGCTAAGTGAAATAGGCCAGACACAAAATAAGAGATGTTGTATGACTCCACTTACATGGAATATCTAGGATAGCAAATTTATAGAGACAGAAAGTAGATACGAAGTTATGAGGGGTTTCAGGGTCAGTGAAATGAGGAGTTATTACTTGATCAGTGCAGAGTTTCTCTTTGGGGCAATGCAAATTTTTGGAACTAGATAGTGATGATGGTTGCAAAGCACTGTGAATGTAGTTAATGCCACAGAAATGTACATTTTAAAATGGTGAATATGAAAAATCTAATGTTTTATATATATATATATTACAACAATAAAAAGAAAGTAAAAATAATTACATTCACAACACCACCCATTGCTTGCTTTCCTACAACCCTTTTATTTTTTTATTTTATTATTATTATTTTTTTAAATGTTTTATTTATTTCTAGGAGAGAGAAACAGCGTGAGCAGGGGAGGGTCAGAAAGAGAGGGAGTCACAGACTGAAACAGGCTCCAGGCTCTGAGCTGGCAGTCAGCACAGAGCCCGACGCGGGGCTCGAACCCATGAACCGCGAGATCATGACCTAAGCGAAAGTCGGAAAGTCTGACGCTTAACCGACTAAGCCACCCAGGCGCCCCAACCCTTTTAATATTCATAGATCTATCTATAGTACAGCTTAGATGTCTCTCTAATATAGGGACTATAGTTACATCTCTGGTGATATAATTGACTAAGACTCCATTGTTTGCTCTAGGATTCAAAATTTAAATGTAGGCTTATGAATTTAGATTTGGTATCCTTTCTATCAAAGAGTCCTCACTGAACGTTGACTCAAACAGAGCAAGAATGGATTTCTTGAAAACATTTTTGAAGTTCTCCCCAGTAAACAAGTAGAGTGTAGGAGAAAAGATAGTGTTGAAAGAAATGGCTATCACTGTAAGTATCAGAGTCAACTGTAAAAGTACTGATTGATTCTTAGTGAGAAGTAAGCCCTGGTGTACATGGTAGGGCATCCAGCACACAAAGAAAGAGATAATGGCAGTCATCATGACTTTGAAGGGCTTACTGGACTTAGACAGGCCCCTCTCTTTCATCTTTTTGGCTACTCTTTTGTAACAAAGGGTGATGATAAGGAAAGGCAGAAGGAAACCTAGCAAAAAGCGTCCGATGAAACAGGCTACATGAATCCATTTCCTTAATGTCTGCATCTTTTTGCTTTCCCAGTTAGTAGACACAGCATAATTATTTTGGCAGGTCACTCTTCCTTTATGGTCATCATGTGTCTCTCTGAAAACCAAATAAGGCATTCCGAGGGCTGTGGCAGAGATCCAGATACCCAGGATGACCCTGGAAGCCCAGCGTGGAGTTCGGTGCAGCTGCGACCACACTGGGTGAAGAATGAGAAGGTAACGGTCAACACTGATGGCCGAGAGGAAGAAAATAGAAGCGAACATCCCTGTAGACAAAGTGGCATTGAAGACCTTGCACATGGCAGTTCCAAAGCTCCAGTGATTGTCCTGAAAGTAGGAGGCGGCTATAAATGGTAGAATCAATGTTGAAATAAAATACGAGAAAATGAGATGAAAAAATAAGCGCGTATTGACAGTCTTTTTCATCTTGAAAAGGAGCACCCATAGGTAGAGCCCATTGGTGATGGTACCAATTATAACTGATAAGCACAGAAGAAAGGCAACGATCACATTTGGTGCAGGATCTGGAAAGTGAGTGCTGTTTCTTACGAAAGTGGAGACATTGAGCAAATCAGTGAAGTTGATCAGATCCATAATTACCTGTAGAGAGAGAAACGGAAAGTAATCACAAAAAGAAGCCAAAAAAAAAAGTTAAATATAGAAATTTGATCAGTAAATTGTGCATAGTAAAAGTCATAATGACACTGTTTTTAAAATGGCAAACATTAGGGTCATCTGGCTGGCTCATATGGTAGGACGTGAGACTTTTGAGTCCAGGGTCTTGAGTTCAAGACCTACATTACACATGGAACCTACTTAAAAGAAAAGAAAATTGTAAAATGGCAAAGCATAATATTTCCACAATAATACAAATCAGATATTTTCCTAAGGTGTCTATTTTTATTTGGTATGAAGAATTAAGATCAGATTAATTTGAGCATCAAAAATGGAAGTACTACAGATGAAGTTAATGTGAAAGAGAAATGAAGTTTGAAATATTTTGACTTTAAGTATTAATATAGGTAGCTAAAACTCTTCTGTTTAGACATGAACCATAAATCTGACCCTCCTTGATGGTGATAGCTTCTTGAAAAAGATAATGTAGGATCAATTTTGCTTGACTAAGACTTGATCAGAGCAAATGTTGCTAATGAAATTGAATAACAAAAATAGCAACTGCGGCAAATCAGTAATCCTTTGGAGCTATAATTATATTTCTCCCATGAGCTAATTATATACAGTAAATGCTGTTATGTAGTATTTTAACAGCACGTGGTAAGAACCAATATTCGTTTGGGAGCCCTAGGCTAGGACACTCTAAGATTGTGAAGTGCCTTCAAAATCATCAAAAAGGAACATGAATTGTTGAATATAGTGGTAATTCTTTCTTGCTTGGGAAGGGAAAAGAGGGAGAGAAGTCAAGGAATTAATATTTCTCTATTTTTATGTGCCAGGAGCTTTCTATAAAAGTCATTTCTTTTTTTCCTTGTAAAACAAATATTTAAACAGAAGAGAAAGTGAGGCTTACAATAGTTAAATTTCTTGTTTACCAGCATTTCCCACCATGCCTTCATTGTGGCAGGTGGGGAACCCTACCAGTGGTCGTGTTACTTCTTTGAGAATTGATAATTCATGTGTAGTGTTTTGATGATCCTCCATGAATCAGAGTATTTGATTATCCAAAATATCCCATTTTTTGGATAATGATTCTTAGAGTATTGAAAATGAACCTGAGAATGTTTTGGAAATAGCTAATATATATAACAGTCATATCAACAAATTGGTTGTTGATAAATTGGAGATAGCAGTCGAAATTACTAATGATTTTTTTCCACTAAGCAAAAAAGTTTTAAGAATGTATAGAGAAGAAATAAAATAATTGCTATATCAAGGCCACAGTTGCCTTAAGTTAATTCTGTCTTTTAAGGGAGTTGCAAAGGTTTTTGCCAAAGTAGAAAAATAGCTCTCTTCAGGAAAACGCCTTACTAGTCTGCTTTGAATAAAAAGTGAAGTCTAAGGACATTGAAGGAGAGGCAATGGTGAGTGAAAGAGTAGGAACCTGGGAAAGAGGCCGTGGGAAGGTCCTGGGACCGTGAGAAGGAGGAGTGAGGATGGTCTTCATAGAGGAGGGTACAGGGAAGACACGGCAGGAGGTTAGGAGGCTTGAAGAGGAGAAAGGGTCAATGAGATATTCTGAAAAGCAGAAATGACACAGAGAATTTAAAATGAGGAATGCCTAATATTCAGTTTTAATCCATTTGCTATGCTTTGACATGGTATAATGTCCCTTCTCGTTAATCACAACTGTCTCGTATTGGTGGTTGCCTTGGGGAATCCAAGGAAAAGGGCTTGTGTTCCCGATTTGGGATGCAGTAGGACGGAGAGAACAAACCAGCAGCAGGGGGTGAGATGTGAATGGGATGATGGATATGGTGGAAACTGGACAGATATTGGGGCGTGAGTAGACAAGGAGAAACAAGATCACATGGAGGATTTCTGATACTGGGTGTGTCTGTTTTGTGTCTGTGTGTCTCTGGTCTGTCTGTATATCTGTGGTGCATTTGTCTGTGTGTATGTCTCTGTGGTGTGTGTTTGAATCCATGGGATGTGCGTGGAACTGTGTGTTTGTGTGTGTGTGTGTGTGTGTGTGTGTGTGTGTGTGTGTGGTGCAATTGTATGTGGTCTTTGTGTGCATGGTATCTGCAGTCTGTGGTCTTTGTGCATGGTGTCTGTGGTCTGTGTGTGTTTTTCTGTATAGTGTGTGTTTGTGTGGTGTTTGTGTTCGATTTGTGTGTGTGTGGTTTTTTTGTGTATATGCATATAAGACACTGGACACTTGAACTGTAGCAAAGTTTGTGGGGTTTTTTTGTTTGTTTTGTTGTGGTTTTTTGTTTTTTGAGAGAGAGACTGTGAGCAGGGTAGGGGCAGTGGGAGGGAAGAATAGAGAGAGAAAGGGAGAGAGAGAGAGAGAGAGAGAGAGAGAGAGAGAGAATCCCAAGCAGGCTCCACGCTGTCAGCACAGATCCCCACATGTAATATTCCCTCAACAGTGTGTTCTTCAGTAGGAATGGCCTGTCCCATATAATGCAATAGCATTTAATTTAAAAATAAAGCACTGGCCTTCCCCCAAATGATACTTTTTCTTTAGGATCCTCAAATCTGGAGGTTTTTGATACATAGTGGAGGTCGCAGGGTCTCTAGGCCCTACATCTGAATTTCCTGTTGAGTTAATTGCTCTGGCAGGCACTGTTACCTGGCAAATCATATAGCCATTTACAGTCTCCTCTTCACTGCCCACTACAGGGACTAGAAAGCTCCACATTGATTTCCCCAAATTTCAATTTAATCATCAAGTGATTCATGTGATTCAGTGAATTGTAAAGAGATGCCCCTTGTGTAGTTTCTGGGGTGGGCAAGCTGATATAGAGCATGCCTGTAGGGTTTATTCAGATAATAGCACCAGGATAAACCTGCTGGCACAGGCATTCTTACCTGAGAGTTATACTTGCATGTCAGATGGTCTTAGGTAGGCCAGAGTGACTCTAAATCAGCAATCTTCTCTCCATGGACAGGCAGAAATCAGTGACACTTTGACTTCATTTCATCTGCCTTTCTTCTTGCTGATGCTATTCCTCAACTTTGAAGCTACTATTTAAATATTTCTGTGAATTCTTCTTGCCATTTCCTAGTTCCCTTTTCTGTGTAATTTATGCTAAAGAGGTGGAGATAGAAAATTAAGTACTTCTTCAAATCATTTCTCCATTTTAGGAGGAGATTTAAAAAGTTCCATAAACAAAGCCATTCTAAGGTTGATAAGCTCACTTCAAGTGTTAAAATCCTGATTAAAAATGATCTTCTCTGTATAGTCATCCCACTAGGCACCCACTCTGCCTCAAGTATAACATGTTCATTAGCATGTGGAGCATGGTGTTCGGTATATAGAGAAATGGTAAATATCAAGCATGGAAAAAACTGAATCTGGAAATGAGCTACCCAATCCCCTTAGAGTGAAAATGGTCAGGAAGAAAAACAAACACTGAGTTTCATATTAAAATGACATGTGTGAGGACAGGGCAAAGATTAATATTATTTAATTTGAAAAGATGAAGACCTCTATCTTTCATTTGCGCCTGTACGATTGTTGAGAATGGTTGGAACAAACACAGAGTAGGGTACCATATCCTGGAAGATAATCTCATCATAAGAAAATCCTGCAACACAGGTAATGTATTTATGAACTGAGTCCTACATTTCCTATTGCTTTCTCCAGTCCATCTCTGACATTCTTTAGGATCAGCTTCTGTGCTGACCTCAGTGTCCTGATTTCTTTCCTGCTCAGTTTCCTCTTGATCTCTGCACTGGCAGTAGAGAAAAATACATCAAAACCTCTGTCTGGCTTCAGTGCTGAAGCTGGGGAATCAGTTATCCAGTTTGTGTTAGAATTTTAAAGCTTTCACTGCTACTGTAACCTTATTAGAAATAGGCTTAAATTTTAGTTCTTAATTCATTTGGGACTGTGACCTTCAGCCTAAGAACTGATCTTTGCTTCAGGATAAAGATAAGCTTTCAAACTTGTTATTGCATTTTAAGAGTGATTTCTTGCTAGGTTTTCATGCCCTTTGGGTTAATTCACACATCTGGAAGCAACCTGAGATATTATTTGGTTCAAACCTGCTTATTTTGGAGATTAGCAAACTGAGATGCAGAGTTAAGTGATTCACAAGAGGTTTTCACCAACAAAAGAACGAGAGAGCTCCTTCCACTGCCCTATGCTATTTCATTAATAAAAAAGGGGGGGATGTGTGTGGATTAGGTTCTTCTTCCTCTTTCATTCTGCATTTTCAATTTTTACAACTAGTAAAATTCATAAATAACAAATATATCAGGGACTAGTGTTTAACACCCCTCTCCCCAAATGCACAAGGACTAGTACCACCATTAGATAGCCTAAAATTTAACTCTTTCTTAACTGTCCTCAGAAATACTCTCATTAGTGAGTATTTTCTTCAAACAGGTAATTAAGCCAATGACATAAACTCCTTTGGGAAATACACAGACTGCTTTTGAGGAAGTATTTTCTCTTCTGTGGTTTTGGTGATGTGGCTCCATTCATTTCACTTTTCATATTTCAAATGAAG